AAAGCATCCATCCTCTAAAAACTGTTCGATGCGCTTATCTATAATTTTAGCACCATAAAGTTTCGACTCTCTCCCTCTCTCGCTCTGTCTTTTAATAAATGTCTATTTCTTCTATTTGCAGAGGAAATTCCATATTTAAATGTAAAACGTGCCAACCTTTAGCCTTTTGTCAAGTCTCGATTCAATTAAAATGCAGTACCGGCCACGTTTTTAGTGCTTTGGCCAAAAATAAATGTTGCAAACAGCAAATAATAAATAAATAAGAAAGTAGGTATGCAACAAAAATACAGAAAAGAGAAGAGAGAAATATATATATGTATATGTGTGTACATGGGAAGAGAGCAGTTAGAATAAGTAGAAGCAGCAGCAGCAGCAACGGCAGCAGGAATAGTAAAGCAAATGGCAAACGAGGCAAACGAGTCCATGTCCTTGGGCAACGTCCCACGCAAAAATGTTGGCACAGCCAGCAAAGGTTACCAATACAAATACACACGCACAAAAGCAATCAAAGAGAATGGTTGAGGCACACACACACATACACATCCGCTCGCACAGTGGGCCACAGACGCACTCAATGTGCGCCGACAAAAAGAAGAGAAAGAAAAAACAACAACATAAAAATTAAAGAAGCTTTAAGTATCCTTGTTGCTGCTGCAAGGACCAACGCCAACGCCAAAGGAAATATGGCCAGGCGGACGATGGGATCCAAGGGGGGCAAAGGTTAGGTTAGGGTAGCTGCCCGACTGGCTGCTGCTGCTGCTGTCAGAAATTGCTTGTTGGTTGTCTTTTTTGTGTGTTTTCAGTTCAAGTTTTTTTTTTCGCTCAAGATTTTGCCTGCCAAGGTTTACGCGCTCTCACGCACTCTCACGCATTCTCTCTCATCTCACGCACTGTTCTCTCGCCGCACTCACTGTCTAGTGCGCACCTTAAAGCTTCAGCAACTGTGTGTATATGTGTGTGCGTGCGTGCGTGTGTGTGTGTGTGGGTTAGTGCGAAAAAATATATAAATGTGCAGCGATTATGGCTAAAAGATCTTTGTGCTGCTGTCACAGCTACAGATACACGGGCTACAGATACGGCTACAACTGCAGATACAGATACACACACACACACATATACACATATGCTAACGCATATGGCATGCATGTATGTATATCCGAAGCCGATAAAAAATTGCTATGGATATTAAAGCGATGGCTACAAAAGCGAAAAAAAAACCCTTGGCTACATTAGCGAGAGTGACAGCAGACCTCTGTCAATGTGTGTGTGTGTGTGCGGGCGTTTGTCTGTGTGCGTATTTTTAGCCATTTTAAAATGTTTTTTTTTTTCCCTTTTTATGAATTTTTTATTTATATATACGACTGCTCGGGGAACCAATTCGTTGAGCCCAATTCGGGCGATAAATGCACAATATTTGCGGTTATGTATGTTCATTTGATATGATGTCGCATATTATTTATTGTATGTGTTCTTTAAAGGTTGACAAATTTCCCAATTTGAAATGTTAAAGTAAAAAAAATAAACTAAGGTAAGACAACGTATGAAATCTATCATGTAAAATTAAAATTAAAAACCGAAAATTTAATTTATTTAATATTTAATATTATTATATAAAATAATAAAAAAAATTATTTATATATTTTGATATTGTACAATCCCGCTGGAAATCCTTCTAGAGTAAAGCCAGCATCTAGCGCCCCAGCTAGCACAACATTTATCTTCGGCTATATATGACAATTTATTTCCCGCTGTCAGCTGGTTGAGCTGCTGATAAAACTCTCATTTTATTTTAATTGCTCTTCGTAAAAAAAAATGAAGAAAGAAAATAATTGTTATTGTCTTTGTATGTCCGCTGATAAATCTCTTTAATTTATGTCGCTTATCAACTTGTCCTTGGGTAAACAGAGAGAAAGACAAGCCGATAGATGGAGAGAGAAGAGATAAAGACAGAGAGTCAGTGTGAAAAAAGTCAAAGAGCAACAGTCAAAGTGCAGGAGAATCATGCATCAGTTTTAATTTAATAAAGACATGTGAGATTTATAAAATATAAATTACGAATATTAATTTATTTACATTTTGAATTTAATTTTCGATTCAAATGGAATTTTATATCAGCTGCTATGATATAAAACATTATGGCAAAACGGAAAATCAATCATTTAATAATCAAAGTTTCCCTAAACATTTTCAATAATTTAATATCAAATTTTAAAACCTTAATTAATATAATTTTCAATACATTCAATTATATTTCCATGGCACTTTTATTTAAAAAATAATAATAATAATAATAATGTTAATCAAACTAATAAAAAAATAATAATAATATTAAATAAAATAAAATATAAATTTAATGATTTTCGATAGGATCTATATGTTTGTATATATTTTGTTAATATTTTTTTGGTGCTAATAATTTTCTATTTGAATGTCTAAGCATTGGAGTCGGTGCAGTAAAACTAGCTGGCAATTCGACCAATGCAGCTTGCTTTCAGCTATAAAATGGCTAAAAATAACTAAATCTGGATCATAGAACTACCTGCTGAGCATGAGAACGATCCCTAGTTGACTGGAGAACACAACAGGGAGGAATTGTGTATTAGACCAACGTAGGCAGCGTTTGTTTACATATGGTCTTGCTCGGCCTCAGTCCCACGCTCAGTCGTGCGCTTGCTTTGTCTGTCTATTTCATTCCCTGCCTTTCCAGTCCCTCCCTGCATCCCTCTATTCACTAGCGAGAGTGTTTTCCTCTGTGAACGTCTGCTGTATCTCCCTCTCTCTCTCTCTGATCTCTTTTCATTCATTATTTTTCTCTCTTCTTCCTTCGACACCTTTCACATTTGTCATAATTGCCGCTAATCTCTCTTCCTCATAAGAAAAGTCAGACCAATGTAAAGCAAATTGGCTGACAAACCCTAGAAAATTCGTCTCTTCAAACAAATCTGTTGGGATCTTGGCCTAAAATATGATTATAATTTCCCGTCCTTCTCTTTAGCATTTAATATTGTAATTGTTATTGTTCATCATTCAAAAAATGTATAAGCTTTCCATGTCATTTTGTAACGATTTCTTATTATGTATATATCAAAAAGTAAATCCGAAACAAAAATTTGCTCTAAAAACAAACTAAAACATTTATTTATTACATAAACTTATTCGCTAACTATTTAAAAGTTCAATAAGCACAGCCAATACATTTCAGCTGTTGCATCTCTTTTGTTTTCTGCTCCCTCAGCTCCACTGCCTGCCTCTATGGCACCCACTCATCCACATCGTACGACTTCTGCGTATATTCACACTGCAGCACTGGCTCCTTGGGCAGCGAGTCGTTTGGCTCTTGCTTGCGTCGCCGACGCACTCCGGTCACCAGTCCCACAATCACAATTACCAACAATGCGCCCGATGCCACGCCCACAATGGGTATTGTCAGAGTATTCAATTGATTCTCATCATCGGCTGCCTGATCGATGCTCAACAGTTGCTCCAGCAGGCCACGACGACACGAGAGCTTGGCATTCGCATCCTCGCTCGCCTCCTCCACATAGCCCGCATTGCAGCTACACTTGCCCTGAGCATCGCAGCTCTGATGCGGACCACAGCCCGTCTGAGCACAATGCTGCTCCTTCGCTCGGCCATCGCTGCTCTCAAAGAACTCGGCACGACACTCGCCCGCATAGAGGATGTAGCCCTCTTCGCAATCGAAGGCTGTGATGGTCGATGGGGTGGACGATGATTTGCTTAGGTGCTCCTCCGGTTCGGTGACATCATCGCTGGTCAACTTCATCATCGTGTCGTCGTCGCGCAGCTGGCAGCTGTTGCTCTCGGCATTCCAGAAATAGCCACGATTACACGCACAGACTTCCACATCGACGCACTGGCCATTGGCACAGCCGTTGCCCACCTGGCAGACCGGTGCACAGGGCGCACTGACTCCATCTCCGGTGGGCGGCAGAGGCTGATGGCCCGGCTTACACTCGCATGTATTGGGCGCCACACAATGGCTGCCCGCTGGACAGCTCCGCTCGCAGATGGGCTCACAATAGTGGCTACCGTCACGATGTGCAACGGCCGATATATAGCCGCTGGTGCATTGACAGCGCTGGGGAGCCACACAGCTGGCGTGAGCCGGACAGCCACGCTCACAGACGGGCTCACACAGACCCGACTCGCCCACTTGCGAGTAGCCCGGGCAACATTCGGAAATGAGTTTGTAGCTAATCTGCTCCTCGTGCGTATTGTAGAACTCGGTAATCTTCTCCGCCTTCTTCCACAACTTCCACTTGGAAGGCTGTTTGACCACGGTCCGTTGCTTCGTTACGGGCACCAAAGTCCTCGTTGTCACATTCCGTTCACAATAGTTTTCCCTTTCGGCCAGACTGAAGCCTAGCATGCACAGGCCCAGGCAGAGAATAGCACAAATGTTTCTCATTCTATCAACTGATCGTGTCGAGTCTCAATTCAGCACTGACTTGCACGGGCCGAGCGATGCTTAGCTGGAGAGCTCGAGAATCCGAAAATCCAGTATAATAATAACAAAAACATCCGTCGCTAGATAACTTTCGACCCTTGCTCTATTCCTGTCTCTCTTTATCACACACACACGTACTATCATGCACTCCCTCTCTCTATCTCCCTATGTCTGTCTCTGTCTTATATCTGTAGCGGCGTCCCTCTGATAAGTCAGAGCGGAGGGTTGCAATGCATCGATAGAGCGACAAGTCAAGTCAGGACAGAGCAGGCAAACGAAGAATGCGTATCGTAAATTACACTAGACAACAACATTCAGAGCATCTCTCACGTTTGATTGAGGTCAAATAATGAAGAATAAATTCTATCTACATATATTTACATAGACAATAAATTAATAAAATAAATATAATATTTTGCTCAACGTTTAAGTATATGACAAACAATTTATTTTTGTCTTTTTTCGACATTTCAACAATATGAAAGAATCGAAATAAATTTCGCTATATATTAAATATTAAAATTTATTATTAATATTTTTATTATTATTTTAATTATTTTATTATTATTTTAAATGTTTTATTATTATTTTAATTATATTTATTTGTAATTTTGATATTATTTCTTTTTACTTCCATATATATATATTTCCTTTATAGTTAAATATATTTATAATATATCAAACTTCATTTAAATGTTTTAACATATTTATTTTAAGACTTTGTTATTTATTTATATTTTATTATTATTTCATTCATATATTACTTTTAAACTGAAGTGAACCCCAATTTTTTCAATTTTTTTTTTCAATTATTTCAATAATTTTTCAATTATACTTTCATGAATTTACAAAGTTTATTTATTATTAGTCATACCCTACACACATGTAGAGTTTTCAAAACCCTGCTGTCTAGTGTTATTTTGGATGCTGGCAAAGTGCACTCAGCTGTTGCTGCTTCTGTTGCTGCGCCGCAGCAGACAGTGAAATGCTGGTGGCCATTGTCAGTTGATTCGATGTGTCTGACTTTATCATAATACCCGCTTAATAAGACGCTTAAGTCGCCCGCATAAAAAGATGCCGATAAGCTGGAAAATAGCTGCAATTGCCACTTAGTATATATCACAGATATATTTGTTTATTAATCACAATGAGGCAGGCGTTCGAGCGGAACTAAATGAGTCGCCTTGCAGATTTGCCATTGCATAGACTTATATGCATTTATAGAAGGTTTTCGGGTTTGCCTGCTCTTATCGAAAGGAAATAAAATAATTTAACTTGACTCATTAATTTCGAAGGTTTGTTTTTAGACATTAGAAACTGGTTTCCCCTCGAACTCTTACATAAAAATGCACTTTAGTCTTAGGGCATGACTCTATATCTACCTATACCCATGCTCTCTATCTACCTATACCTGCTACAGCAAATATACTCTATAAACAGGTCAAAACAGCCAAAGCAGGTAGTTTCCTGTTGCCTCAAGAGTGTGAGAAAATCATGAGATAAATAATAAATATTAATATTAATTAGCTGAAATTTAAAATATGACCTAAAAGCACTCATATTTTGGCATGGAATTTTACATAAGGCAATGAATGCTCTAGCTTAAGTGAACGTTTATATATTTAGCTTGACAGTTAGTTGCGGTCAAGCCGAAAATACAATAGTTTTGACGTCACATATGTCAGATTTTCTGTGTGTGTGTGTGTGTGTGTGTGTGTGGGAGGGGCTTTTTTTGCCTTAGGGTTTCTTTTCTTTGCAGCCCACACAGTGAGCCACATATACAACAGCAACAAAACTGTCAATGCAAAAGCTGGCATCACGGGGCACGTATCCTGCTTTCTGTCTTCCAATCCAGCATGTCGCTCCGGCGAGCCAACAAAATGAACATATGAACGCTTGAATGACAGCTGACATAGAGAAACAAAAGTGTGGGTGTGTGTGTGCGTGCGTATATGTGTGTGTGTGTGTCTGTTGTGTGTGCTTGTGACACAGTCACATTCTAATCTAAAATAATTGAATTGAAGTCAGATTGCAACTGATGCCTTGCGCTCTTGTAGCAAGCAGCAGAAACAGACTCAGATATGTGTATGTACACTGAGAGAAATGCATAGTAGATAGCTATTTGTTTTCGAAAGAGACAAAGTCGATTTCTAGCTGCAAAAATTTATTAAACAATTCTTTGAATATTAGAAAATTATACTTTAGAATTCTCTAACTTTTTATAGCTTGGGCTGGTAAATATTTTAAAATTTTAAAAATCAATGTAAATTTATAGAAATTATATTTATACATATATACTTATTATATGTATATATATATACTTTATATACACTTAGAGAAAAATTCTAGCAAAAGTAAAACATTCATTTCAGTTTAGAAAATTGTTTAAGAGCTCTAAATATGACTTTTCTAAGTGACAAAAATATACACTCAGAAAAAAAATCTTTTTAAAATAATTAGAAAGTCAAATTTCTTTTTCTGATGATTTATTATAAAAAATAATATATTATATTATTATAAAATAAATAAAATATTATTATTCAAAATACAGAAAATTGCACATTTTCTCATAGATTAATTTTCATCTATTTATATTTAATAGATGATTATATGTTGCACACTTTCATTTGATACGCAGATTAGTGATTCAGATACATTTTCAGTTGCAGATACAGATACATTTGCAGTAACCGTTACAGCTATAGCTACAAATGTTGAGTGCGCGTAATAAACTGTGCACGTTAGATACGTGTTCAGGCGCAAGCTTTGCTGGGCCTGGCTTTGCTTTGCTTTGCTACGCTTTTACGCCAGCTCTCGTGGCACAGCTTTGCATTTGGAGGTGTAACTGTTGCTGTCGCTGTAACTTCATTTCGCTCGTCTATGCACACATATGTGCGCCGTGTTAATTAATGTTCAGCGCACTCGCTAACTGAATTTTTGGTTTAGCCACCGACAAAAGCTACAGGCCGCCCACTGTGCCAGGACGAGATTTCGCCAACTGCAATTAGGGTAAAAACTTTGGGCCTAGTCGAAGTTGGTGCGCTTGAGTTATTGCCTTGGCTTTGGTTGCGATTCACGACCCGCTAATTGCCAGCCATAAATTTGCATTATCTCACGTAGAACGAAAGGTACATCCTTTACACACACACACACACACACACACAGACACACACTCTAACGCAGAATGCTTGTGCCGCTGCTTAACTGTTAAATTATCCAAGTTGCGAACGGCGAAAAGTTTTAGCAACCCCATGTGACATCTGCTGCTCAATGCACAGACACGTAACGTTCTAGGGATAGGGATAGCGCCTGGGCATGGCTACGAGCATACCGAGGAGGCGGGGGCGGGCCTTGTATGTGAACAGACAGTTTAACTAGCAAAGTGTTGAGCCATCTAACGGTATTCGCCAACTTACTAACGATAGAGAGAGAGAGCGAGAGAGAGAGAGTGAAAGACAGAGGGTGGGAGTACTTTGTGTCCCAAATGATTGGACAATCGTTTTAATTATGAATTTGCACTCAATTCTCGGTTGAGCAGTAAAAAGTCAAAGATAAGTATATGTTATTAATAAGTAATATCATTGCGTGATTAACTTGCACCACAATATGCCTAAAA